TAAGATAACCGCAGCATACAAGGTACTTCTACCATGTTGGTATGCAAATTGTTTAGGATCATTAAAAGGTTTCAATGAGGGTTCAAGACGAAGTAAAAGTAATTTTTCCATCAATTTTAAAAAGGGGGAAGTAATTGCAATGGGCCGAAATTTAATATCAGAACCAGAAGATCGTTTTGGTATAGGGATAATTTTAATGTTTTTCCATGCAAAAGGTAGAACGTTACCGGAAAAAGAAGCATTAAAATGTTAGTAAGAGGATAACACAAAATATCAGCACAATTCCTGAGGACAATGGCAGGTATGCCGTCAGGACCAAGGCCTTGAGAAGGCTTAAGAGACCGGAGACATTTTAGCACATCAAGGGTATTAAAACCACTAAAGTTATTGTCAATATTATTTGTATCATTGTACTATGCATATCGAGACATTAATGTAAGTACAAGCGGTTCAACGAAGAAGTCTCTTTTGGCCGGCGAATTCATTCACTTAGCAGGTACAATTGCAATGATACAAATAATTATTTTTTGTTTGTTTGTATGTGTGTGTGTGTGTGCATTAGGGTTTGTCCAACAAGAATAAAAACTAGTTAGGGTTATTGTTTATGTCATAAAATAATCAGATTGTAACTAGAAGGAAGAGGGGGGTGAAGATTGGTAAGTCTTGACTAGGGTTACATAATATGAAAGATAATCGCACGACTTCCTGAATTCATTTATATAGTTCCATTGTTTTTCACTTGATTTGATTGGTAATAGTATTTTCCATATTTCAGGTATGAGTGATGAGTCATTCCTATTGCATGTGTTGGGTGTAGACTCGATGAACCAGACAGGCTTCAGTAATCAACCTCTCTCTCCACCTATCTAGATTACCTTTTAGAATTTTAACCCTCTCCCACCATCCTATTGTGTGGTTGTGTGTTAATGCATCTATTTACTCGTATTTTATTGGTGTTTACATATCACATTATGCATTCTAATCGTATTATCCACTCCCGGGATTTTATAAAACGTTTTAAACCGAAAAACTTTCATATTTGCCATAAACTCAAGAAAAGCACCATGGAGGTTGACAGAGTGCCTTAAAATCTACGCCTATACATCACACCACTGTTCCAGTTATCATTAGCACCAACTGCCGGTCCCTTCCTAACAAAATTCTGGATTTTCAGTCTCTGTTGTCTTCTAGTACCTACCACAATACTGGTATTGTCACTCTACAAGAAACCTGGCTCCATGACTCATACGACGACAATATTGTATCTCTAAACAATTTTAATGTTTTCCGACAAGACCGTGTTTGTTCCAAGAAAAAATGTGGCGGAGGTGTTGCAACTTTTATTCACTCAAAATGGTCCATTTCTAACAAAGTTTGTTTCGAATTCTCGAATGACTACATTGATTGCATCACTGTGAGATGTTGCCCGAAGCACCTGTCAAAATACAAATTCATTTACATTTCTAATGTTTATGTCTCTCCTGGCTGTACCATATCGGATTTATCTATGTTTGCTGATGAATTCACCGCTTTTGCTGCAGCTTGCTTCGAGAACTCTTTATCTATAGTAACTGGCGACTTTAATGCATGCGATCACTCCTTCCTTATATCACTTGGCTATGACAATATTGTTAAATTTGCTACTCGTCTTGGTAAAACACTGGATCTAGTATTTATCAATGATGTTAGTATATGTGAAGCTCGCAAACGTGCTCCTTTACTTAACTCTGACCACTGCATCATACGTGTACTGCCTAAAATATATTCCAAATCACACAAAGGTGTCCTTTCTCACCTCTACAGTAAAGTTCAACGGAGATGCTACTCACAAGACAACCTAGACAAGCTCAGATGCATGTTGAAAGACACTAACTGGGACTTATTTACAGAACAAACACTTGATGAAACAATCCCAAACACTACTGATTATCTTAAATTCTGTTTCGAAATATGTTGTCCTAAAGAAACATTAAATTTAATATCAGTACCAGAAGATTGTTTTGATATGGGAATAATTTTATTGTTTTTCCATGCTAAAGGTAGAACGTTACCAGAAAAAGAAGCATTAAAATGTTAGTAAGAGGATAACACAAAATATCAGCACAATTCCTGAGGACAATGGCAGGTATGCCGTCAGGACCAAGGCTTTGAGAAGGCTTAAGAGACCGGAGACATTTAAGCACATCAAGGGTATTAAAACCACTAAAATTATTGTCAGTATGATTTGTATCATTAGGAAGGATATCAACAGAAGAGCGTATGAAAGATTTATTAAGAGTGTCGACATTAAGAGATGGAACAGAAGTACATCGCTTACCGTTAGTAATTTCTTTGAAAAGTTTCCACAAATTAGAAGGGGTTTTACATGACAAAAATCTTTGATTATATAAAACATTTAGTCTTTTCATTTCCAGTTTTATCAGAATATTTAACTTTTTTACACCAGCCTTATCATTTGTTTTGAACAACAGTTCTTTATCTCTACGTAGCTTTTTGAGATATGGCGAAGAGAAGCGATCAAATCGAATGAATAATGTTTCTTTAGGACAACATATTTCGAAACAGAATTTAAGATAATCAGTAGTGTTTGTGATTGTTTCATCAAATGTTTGTTCTGTAAATAAGTCCCAGTTAGTGTCTTTCAACATGCATCTGAGCTTGTCTAGGTTGTCTTGTGAGTAGCATCTCCGTTGAACTTTACTGTAGAGGTGAGAGAGGACACCTTTGTGTGATTTGGAATATATTTTAGGCAGTACACGTATGATGCAGTGGTCAGAGTTAAGTAAAGGAGCACGTTTGCGAGCTTCATATATACCAACATCATTGATAAATACTAGATCCAGTGTTTTACCAAGACGAGTAGCAAATTTAACAATATTGTCATGACCAAGTGATATAAGGAAGGAGTGATCGCATGCGTTAAAGTCGCCAGTTACTATTGATAAAGAGTTCTCGAAGCAAGCTGCAGCAAAAGCGGTGAATTCATCAGCAAACATAGATAAATCCAATATGGTACAGCCAGGAGAGACATAAACATTAGAAATATAAATGAATTTGTATTTTGACAGGTGTTTCGGGCGACATCTCACAGTGATGCAATCAATGTAGTCATTCGAGAATTTGAAACAAACTTTGTTAGAAATGGACCATTTTGAGTGAATAAAAGTTGCAACACCTCCGCCACATTTTTTCTTGGAACAAACACGGTCTTGTCGGAAAACATTAAAATTGTTTAGAGACACAATATTGTCATCGTATGAGTCATGGAGCCAGGTTTCTTGTAGAGTGACAATACCAGTATTGTGGTAGGTACTAGAAGACAACAGAGACTGAAAATCCAGAATTTTGTTAGGAAGGGACCGGCAGTTGGTACTAATGATAACTGGAACAGTGGTGTGATGTATAGGCGTAGATTTTAAGGCACGCTGCCAACCTCCATGGTGCTTTTTCTTGAGTTTATTGCAAATATGAAAGTTTTTGGGTTTAAAACGTTTTATAAAATCCCGGGAGTGGATAATACGATTAGAATGCATAATGTGATATGTAAACACCAATAAAATACGAGTAAATAGATGCAAAATGTACATGGAATGTGGTAGCCCAAAATGTCCAAACAGGCCACCAAGCTGTGAGAGAAAACGAATAGTAACATATAAGAACAACAGAGTACTTCGATTAGATATGGGAAATCACAAAGACTGAGTGCATCTGCACCAGTCATCACTGAGAATGATTTTCATCCATTTCACTGATTGTCTGCAGCCTTCATTGGTTCTTGCCATCTCGAGGACCCTATCGAATCAGTCAGGAAGTCTACACCTACCTACATGTCTGTCTATCTTAAAATAGTTGTTATGTGTTTCCTTGACTGATGAAACCATGTTTTGGTTTGACCACCGCCACTAGCCCTTTACCAATCTGATCGATGCTATGTGAATGGACTAGAATTTTCCATCATGGTAGGCAAACGATGACTAGGCATGCCCTAAGCATCTTTCTCACTCAATGTAACTTCATAACCTAGTTGATTGATTCTCCCTCTTACCTAGCGCCCGACCGATGCCTAACCTCAAAATTACTCACTGCATTATATCACCTAACACGGGAGATAGAAGGCAGACACGTATGATCAAAGAGAGTTAGACTTTTCGTATCTCCCACATTCGATGGCCATGTCCCACAGCCAGCGACAGAGGAAGACGGAGAAAACTGATGCTGAGCAGTACACACGTCCTTTGACCAATAGCCAGCTAACTGTATATCACGTCTACTAAGCCGGAGATGACGTATGCCAAACGAGTCTTCTGTATCCTCTGTGAAATTTCATCTGAGATCAAACCACGGGGGCTGATGCAACTTCCCACCCAAGTGAGTGAAGTGGTCACCACGCTTTACCACTTCACTCCCCTCTCTCTTTAAGCTAGGAGTCGCTGTATTGCATTCCAGTCCTATAGCATCACCTTACATTTGACAGAAGCAAATCCCATGTCAAATATTTAAAGATTCCTGCTACTCACGGTGTTCAGAAGACTATGCTGTATTTTGTCAGCGTCTTCATCTGGGGGGGGGTTGGATTATATCATCCACTTATTCTAAGTCAGTGAAATCATTTCCCGGCAAAACATCAATCCCTTAGTCACTGTAATCAGTTAGGGTTAAGTCTATTAATACATCTATGGTGAAATTAAACAGAAATGGGGACAGTGGTGGGCATCCCTGACAGACTCTACTGATTGTCATCACTTCAGATGGCAACTCTCTTTAGGCTCTTATTTTGGTGACTGCATGAATTCGAGTAGAGTTCCTTGATCAGTCAGACATATTTTCCCAGAATTCGACGGTGAGCATCGCAGATATCGTACGAACTGTTTTATTTTGTATGGCGAATCTCTTGGTGTACATGATGTACCAAGCTTTTGTTTTAATAAATCTCATATATAGATTGCGCAACATAATAGTCATTATAATTGTTTTTCTCCATGTGTTTTTGTAATCACCAGGAGAAATCTAAACTGTTAGAATTGCAAAATGTTTATAGTCAACGTATTCCAAAGCATATTGTCTTATCACACTTACAATCGTCGTCAAGACAAGCTCCATCACAACCGCCTCCGCCAGCGCCGCTGTTGTCAACGATGTCGACAAGCAGCACAACAGCGACAACCACCACCTGTCTAACCACTTTTGTCGATGATGCTTATGATCTCAATGATGTCGATCAGCATAAAGCCAAAGACCTGCAAAATAAATTATCAACTTCAAGTAAATATTCATATACCACTACTACTACTACTACTGATAATCCAGCTAGTAGTAGTACATCTTTTCTGCCTAAAATTAACTCGAAATCGATATTCTCTCAAGACGATGGTGATGACAATCATGAAGATAATGATGACATAATCAATGATAACTCATTAATAAAAGTCACTAGTCACGACAGTGCAAAACATACCACGCAATCCTCAAAACAAGACATTAGTAATATGTTGTCAAAGTTAAAATCAATCTCATCTCTGTCGAAGTCATCACAGGATGAACATGGAAATAAACAGTTTGACAAATTTGAAAATTCAAAAAAAATCAATCGTGTCTCAGCATCATCACCATTAAATGATGAAAAAATCCTGGATGATAATAAAGAAAATTCATGTGGTGATTCTGTTGTAAGTGTCAGTCTTCTTTTTGTCACTGTTTGATAGTGTTATTATTATTAATACTAATATTACCATTAGTAGTATGTAAATAAGGCAGATTGGCTTAAGCATTTAACTTTCAGCCAATGGGTCGTGAGAGTTCGAATTACATTTCGCTTAATTCAGCCTAAATGAACAGGTAATATTACCACCTCTCGCATAATAAATATGATGAAATATACACATTGGGTCATGGAAGTTATTAAGAAGACAATTGCAGCGAAAAAAATTTCTTTTCGACGAAGTCACCGTCAACTAGGAGGCTGTGTACATTCGTGTATTTATATCAAATGGATGGGAAAGTTCCAGAATAATTTCCGGTTAAGGGTCAAATTAATGAAAAATTAAAATTAGAAATTAGAATGCCATAATAAACAGGTAGGGGACGGATAAAACTCAACAAAGTAGCATCACAATAACTAAGAAGATTAACATTGTGCAATTAGGGGTTAGAAATGTAGAAATAACAAAATAGACGCCTTTCGAAAAATCCTTCAAAGTAATATACAAGATCCAATCAAACCTATCAAAGGGAGTGAAATCAAGACATCTGGGCATAGCCAAGGCACTAGTTATACAAAAGCTCAAACCCACGCTTTGTATCCAAAAGAAATACATCCAACCCCTGTCCCTGCCATGGCCATCATAAACAGGTAATTTTTAGTAATGACCATCCCATCGCCTTTCCCACCTAAACTTCCTGTTTATTCATGTTATTTTAAGTTTTTCTTAATCCCTATTTACACTACCATATTTTCATACCTGAACTTCGTGTTTATTTTATCATTTTACTATTTCTACATGTTTAATCCCTGATTACATAAACAATTATTTATCACATTAGTTTTTTTATCCAAACATCCTGTCTATTTTTGTTATTTCTACATGTCTAATTCCTAATTGCACAATGTCAATCTTCTTAGTTATTATGATGCTACTTTGTTGGAGTTTTATCCGACCCCCTCACCTGTTTATTATGGCATTCTAATTCCTAATTGTAATTTTTATTAATTTGACCCTTAACCGGAAATTATTCTGGAACTTTCCCATCCATTTGATATAAATACACGAATGTACACAGCCTCCTAGTTGACGGTGACTTCGTCGAAAAGAAATTTTTTTCGCTGCAATTGTCTTCTTAACAAATATGACTTATAGCCTGGTATTAACGAAGAATTTATTCCAACTGAATAACGTTATTAGTATGCTGGCCGTTTAACATCAACCTAGGTATCATGTTCAGTGTCCTTCAAGAAAGGTAATCGCTTGTTATGTTTTTTCCCGGCGATTGGCAGGAAATTATGCTTCTAAGTTGCGTAGTTGTTGGCACTTACCATCATCAAGATGTGCCTGTAATCCCAAAACAAGTGGTGTCCTTTTTTTGGGGGGGGGGGGTTAAAAGCAGTGTCACTTAGCGATTCATTTAAAAACTGTAAGAGATACGTTCGGTGGTTACTCAGGAGTAATGACCAGTGCCTTACATCTAGTCCTTGGTAGTACTACTGATGAAGTTTATTGATCAGTACTTGTTTAAATTACTTACGTTAAAAATAAGCATTCAGAATGGCAGTTTTGGCGGAATTTATATTCAATTTAAATTTCTAAATCATGTTTTACAACACCATAACACAAGTTGGTCTGACTTATGAATTATTCGAAGAATGAAGAAGATCCGCATCTCTCTTGGAGGTGTTCGTGATTGGTGTAGTTTTCTCTGTCCTGAGAGGTCTAAATATGAAGACTTTATTGTCTTTTAAGCAAAGTCTTCAGCTCTGACTTGTATGTGGTATTCTTCAGCAATGAAATACACGTCTTCTTCTAGTTACCTTGATTGTGACTGGTTGTCCACGGAGATAAACACAATTGAAAGAAAGCTTCTGAAATTGACCATCTACAGTCAAGGTCATTGAGAAAGATGTTTATTTTACGCACGTAGAATTCAATAACCTTATTTCATACTATAACGCTTGACTTGAAAATTCCCTCTAGAAGGATGATAGTAGCTTTGCGATTAGACTAACTGGCAGAGCGAACACATCACAAATATGGGGTTTCAACAAGACGTCTCTATTATGTCCTGTTAACTGCAGTCCTCTTCATCTGGCCGCATGATTTCCCATAATCTGTCATCTTCTCCTCACATAGTCTCCTTCATGTCACGCTTGGACCCACGCCCAGCTTGCCGTTTACCACTCGACAGCCTAGCGTGTAATGTTACCGGACGGTTTCCTCAGTGTGTAAGCGTATCCAGACTGAAAATGACATTGCCAGACAGTAAGAATAAGCAGCATGGAATTCTGATAGACAGTAAAATAACCAACTACCAAGGAAATGGAGATGGTTGGGGGTGACCTTCAAATGCCTTCACACTTAAGGCCCCGAAATAAGATACGAGTAGAAGTAAGAAGTGGACATCCGAAGGTTTCGATGCATCAGATCATGCTTGAATAGGGAGTGATATCTTGTCAGCAGTCATGGAACCAATGGAAAGTGATGGTAGAGAGCCGGTTAAGATTGCGATTTGCTACTGAAACCATCTGTTCCCCTGGGAATGTAAGGAATTAGTAGTAATAATGATAATTTTACAATCTATAAATGTTTTGAGTTACATTAAATGATGATGAGACCTTTTTTAACTTGCTTTATTTACTGGAATGATAATTCGTATAGATGCCATCGGTACTATTTTATCCTCTGAGTTGACCACTTTAATTATCCAGCTTTCATTATCTCACTAGACAGCATATTCAGCGATAAATTTAAAATAAAATTCATTTTTATGACTTTGATAGTCTTTTTGAGTTAAACAAAGTAAAATTAAACACACAGAAAAACTTATTAGTAATTTTTAGATATTATTCATTTGACCGATGTTGGCTAGCTAGGAGTAACCAGGAGTGGCATCCTGGTTACGAGTGTACCGTCCCGTAGTAGGACTCGTCAGCTTAACGCGCCCTCATCTCAGTAAATGACTGTATTCCCTACGAGACTTGGACCCAGGACTGATCGTGTCTGACGTCGAACTGTTGCTTACCAGGCTACTGAATTAAATGCATATCCTGGTTTAAGCTGCTAGCCACCATCGATCCAATGACAACCGTTCAACATCTTCAAACCCTCTGTACTAGGTTCTGACACTTCAACACAGAGCGCAAGTATTTCACTAAAATATATCAATCAATCAATCCATAGGGATACATTTGATTTGATCTGAGGTTTTCATTCCATTTAAGCTGTTTTATTATGATTTTTTGTTGTCATGTTGACATTTTATCGAAATATGGCTGGTAATCACGCTAAAATCATGAATTGGTCGAAGTTAGAATTCATGGGTTTGCCATTGAGGAGTTGGGTCCCAAAAGCTGAATAGTATACAAACTTCTCTTGTGACCAGAATTTCCTGGGTTCGGATCCTGGCGATGGGTGTTTACTACCAATGAAAACCAAACTAGGCTGACAAAATAGCTGTCCAGTCCTCCAGTACCAGTCTTCAATGGTTCGCTAACTGACATCGATAATTTTTTAATTTTTGTTTACAGCTTGATTCCACACTGTATTTTTGGTACAAGTGTGGAATTTTCACTCTGGATATTGGTAGCCTAAATTTTGAAGGCCGACCATGGATATCAGGTGTGCGTCGGCAAGGGATCGAACCTCGGAGCATGTGCATGGTCGGCGAGAGTACTAACCACTGTGCCACCGTGATCAAACTTGAAACAAATCAAATTCCTACCATCAAACTCTTGATGTAATTGTGTATGAGTAAAGGATTTTGATGTGGTTGTGTTCTCTGAGCTGGCTGGATGGTTAATTTGCGACGCTTTCATCGCCCTACTGGGTGACATCTTTATGTATACTTCAATTCGTTGAAGTGAGCTTTTAGTTTCTACACAAGTTTATTAGTCATCTCTCCTGGTGACCACCTTGGACGTAATTGGTTGTTTTTGTGTTTTCACACCATCTAGGCTACTTGTATTGGAACTGATAGTTTCTTTGACTTGAACTTTGACCCTTTGTGTGTGAGGTTTCTTTCTTATCGGTTGATAAATTTTGTCCATTTCGATGTGACTATTGATTGATGATTTACTGGAATACCAGACAGGCTTCTAAAAATTCTCTAGCATTCTTGTTGTTTCCTCTGTCTAATATTTGGACTCTGGTTCTCCCAGTCGAATTGATGACCGTGGTTGTCTGTATGTGGTGATATGAGTGAGGGAGTGGATGTCATGTCTTTTGACGGCTAGCTTATGTTCGAACCGACAACCACGGACATCAATTCGACTGGGACAACCAGAGTCCAAATATTAGACAGAGGAAACAACAAGAATACTAGAAATTTTTAGAAGCCTGTCTGGTATTCCAGTAAATCATCAATCAATAGTCACATCGAAATGGACAAAATTTATCAACCGATAAAAAGAAACCTCACACACAAAGGGTCAAAGTTCAAGTCAAAGAAACTATCAGTTTCAATACAAGTAACCTAGAGGGTGTGAAAACACAAAAACAACCAATTACGTCCAAGGTGGTCACCAGGAGAGATGACTAATAAACTTGTGTAGAAACCTAAAAGCTCCTTCAACGAATTGAAGTATGCGTGAAGATGTCGCCTAGTTGTAGGGCAATGAAAGCTCCGCAAATTAGCTATTCAGTTCAGAAAACACAGCCACATCAAAATCTTTCACCTGAGCTACAAATCTTCTTTATCATGATTAAAGGAGCAAGTTCATTTAGCTATCTCAGCTTTAAGTTAATTATGTATAGATTATTCAAATTTCCCTTTGTGAATCATAATTTTCACATTTAATTTAATAATTAGTCAATCATTTTTTTTACAGTACTCTGTACTTCAAGTAGACCTGGCTTTGAAATTTCAGTTGCTGAGGCATATAGTCTCTAGCTTCACGCCTAACCTTCCGTCTTGATTGCACTTGCTGGCTGAGAAAGGTTTTAGAGTTTGCTGACAAGGGGTTTGAACCTCAGACACTACGTGAGTGGTTAGTGACCGTTCTACCCTTCAACCATCGACACCCAAGCCAATCATAAGTGTGGATTATTTTGATTGGTTTAAATATGAGACACCAAATTGCATAACCCTACATAATACTGATTAATCTATGAAATATAAGTAGTTGCATATTATCCACATGAATTACTATTGCTTGCTAGCCATATAGGAGTGATGTAAACATCAGATTGCGGTTTGGCTCATTTACTGATGAGCTCATAATGATGATAAACGCGGGGAGGAGGGGGTGAATTTAAAATAGAATCAGGAACATCACCAATTGATCCAGTTGAGGATTTAGTTTCCAAAATTACTCAAATGCTAGACATTATGGTACTGTATGGAAACTTGACAAGTCATTTAGCGACTGTGACAAAACTCTTGTCTAACAGTTCAGTGTTAGTTTGACGAAATTGTCAGATGGGATGAGGGGGGAGCATACATTAAACTTATTGTTTCTGACACGGATCTAGAAACTTTCCATAGACAGACTCTATACAAAGTCATGTTCTATCCTGATATATATGTGGCATGGCTGCCCAGAAAATTCACGTCATTTTCAGCTGTAAAGGCGAAAGCAATCTGATTAATAAAGAGATTGCTTGGAGAAGCGATTTGAAGACACACGCTTATTGTAAAACTTGACAGTACCTATGAGATGTTAATTGACAGTGATAGTGTAGAAAAGGGCACATTAGAAGATGAGTAGAACACGCTTCTAACAATGAATCTTGTTAATCCAGATGACAGGTCGATAATGGGTACATGGACAGTCCGTGTGATAAGAAACCAGACGAGTGGAAAGATGCCATGGATGGCGAATAAGAACGTCTGCAGAAAAATGATCCCTATTATAAAGGGGAATGGATCGCAAAACGTGTTGAGAATGCAAAACTGCTCAAATAGGTAATCCAAACTACAAACCGGGTCCTGAATTGTATGTTTATAATGACGTTGCCTACATCGATTTCGACCTTTCGCAAGTTAATTCACGGGCTATTTTTGACAATAAATTTCACTACTGACAATGAAGAACTTGTTAAGCAAGAAGCTGACAACATCTGAGAAGGATTTAAAAGCTCGAAAGACTAAGATTTCCGCATCACTACACCAATGAAGAACCTAGAGATGCTGATAAGTTAGAGGATGAGACCTCTGAAGGCCACGACAAACTCTAAAGTGTTGTTATGGTGGTAAGTGCATAGATATTTCATTAGTCCGCGGTTCGATTCCCTGTCTAAGCACCTTTGAAGATCACTTCATCGGGAGTGGTAAGCCAGGTAAAAGAGGGAGGGTTAGACGTGAGCCTGGCAACCTGACTCCTGAGAAGAAAACACCTCTGTTACTGAAACTTCAAAGATCAACTTTGGGAGTTCTGTGTACTGCACTCGAAACGTAAAAAAAATTGATAAAATCAATAAAAAATAACCAATCAAAATATAATTTTTATATCGTAAACCTGGTAATTTATTGATCATTACTGATAATTTTCTAGTGAAATTGGCTTTCACCATGGAGCAAATAAATCTTTGCCTTTTTGTCTCAGTGTGGGGGTATAGTAATCCAGTAATCATGCAGATTTTGTTTGTTGTGCGTTGAAATGACAGTCAAAACTAATCTAAATTTCAGTATTATCTCAGCTACGTGGTGTTTATTTTCCAAAATTCTATTTCTAATTCTATAATTTATTACATAATACACAAACATATATCAGTCTGACAGTTGAATGTTCAGCCTACACAGACAGTTTCATCAACAACTAACTTCTCTAAATGTTCATTATTTATTGTGTAAATTTGAAAAATACGGTAGATTTTCTATAGTTTGGTTTGTAAGGGTTAGTTATGTTTTACGAGTTGATCACGGATTGATATCAGTTAGAGAACCATTGAACACCAGGGAGTACTGGACAGCTGCTGTTTCATCCTAGTTTGGGGATCATCGTCACTACGCACCCACTGGGATTCGAACCCAGGACCTTCCGGTTACAAGGCAAACTAGGATGAAACAGCAGCTGTCCAGTACTCTCTGGTTTTCAATGGTTCTCTAACTGATATCAATCCGTGATCAACTCGTGAAAACACGGTTGAATCTGATTTCATCCAAATGAAAACATGTTTTCATTTTTGTTTTTTTTTTCCGAATTTTCAGCTCAAAAATGCCATAAGTAAGTTTTAAAACTTATTGTTTTTTAATTACTTATAGACGGTCTTCTCTTGACTTTATTAGTTAGTCCGTGAACGTTTCGTCGTTAACCAAGACAACACACTCAGAATTAATTTCTTTTCTAGGGAAACACAATTTTGATGGAGCATTCTTGATTACATAACAAATCTTATTGGATACCGAACAGTTATTTTTTTTAGAAATAAAGGGCTCATGATCTTGGGTTTACGAGTACTGATACGTTTGTCTCAGTTTTGGTCAGGAACTTGAAGGTCTTCATGAGAACTGTGATCAAGATTTGATCAAATAGTTCCAAGATCACTGGTGTTGAGTGAGAAGTAGACATATGTAAAACTTTTATTTATAAAATGTCAGTGAAAATGATATAAGAAATTCCGACGCTTCGTTCTGCAGAGTGGTCCGAACGATGACAATAAAGTTAAAAATGTACAAAAAACCTAAAATAATGACGATAATAATATTAATAGCTAAAATTATAAGTAAACTGAAATATAAAAGAGCCAAGTATTTGCTAACAGCATAGTAAATTGTAAGTTTCACGCTTAACATTGTCTCTATCACATAGAACACAGTCGGGCCAAATATGGTATCGTCGAGTTTTTGTACGAGAATATAATCTTTTGTAATGACTTCTAGTCCTACCTACATGAAACTTCCGCACCATGTACGCGACTGGCAAACCAAGGCAAGCTTTCATTACTCTCAAGTCTGTGTGGAGATGAACAGCACTCAGCATCAGAAATAAGATCCGGATTTTCAACTCCAATGTGGAGTCAGTCAGTGCTACTTTATGGATCAGAAACTTGGCGCATCATGAAGAGCACCTCAAACAAATTATAGACTTTCATCAACAGCTGCCTTCACTCAATACTCAAGATCAGATGGCCAGATAAGATCAGCAACAGGGGGGGATCTCTGGGAGCGAACCAACCAGGAACCGATTGTGAAACAAATAGGCAGGAAGAAATGGAGATGGATTGGCTGGCCATACTCTGAGACAACAAACCATCAAGTGAGTGACATCACTAGACAAGCCATCGCTCGAGTGGAACCCGAACGGGAGGCGGTGAGTTGGTCGTCAATGCAAGGGTGACTTGGAGGAGGTCATATGAAGAGGAGATGAAAGCACGTAGGCAGATGTGGAGCTAGGTGAAAACGTTGGCAGAGAACCATACGCAATGGAAACATGCGGCTGAAGCCCTATGTTTCTCTAGAAAATAAGGGAAACAATAGTAATATAATAATAATTTAGTCCTACCTGATGAGATTCAAGGAGAGAGTTGTGAATACAGAGGTTACTGATAGTCAGACAATATGGATTTAGGCCGTTTCTCGCATGAATACATATGTCTATCGACTACAAAAGTAACAAACCGACTTAGAGGCACATCACACTGACCAGGATAGGTCAGAGGAAATAAATATTCCAAGATATTTTATGTTTAACTAAGTTCGTATTTTAGTGCTCTTTATGCTGAAAGTCTCTTGTGAACACACCACTTCGTGTAGATCACGTTTATGCCTGAAGGTGAAATCAACTGTTCGACATTTGAAGGGATTTAAGGTAAAACCATTTAGGTTAGATCGCTAACTGATGCCCGAAAAAAAGCTCTGCAGTTTGGAACACTTAGGTTGGAAGGTAACTGGCAACGAAACAGTCAGAACACTAGCGTATTTAACGAAGTTGATTTTATTTGAAATAGGCAATTCATATGAGGAGAAAGAAAAAAGAATAAGACAGAGAACATCACCTTGAGGAGCACCAACCCCAGTAATCAGCGGGGCAGAGGGAGATTTGCCTTTCTAAACAGTATACTGCACTCTGTTAGGGAAATGAAAATGCAACCAATTAAAGGCCCAGGACTCGATTTGTTTCATGTAAGATGAAGTACCCTTACCCACCTCCGTTTCATTCATTTAAGTAAATGAAAATAAAGTGAAGGCAGATTCATTTTAACGATAACTTGTATACGAACGAAGGTATAAATTATTCCCAAATTAAACTTGCCACTCTTTCGTTCCAGTATACTTTAATAGGTAGGGCAGAAGCCCGTTATTACCATTCCATTGAGTTCCGAGCGAAACACCCGGCTTTAACATCACGTCTTCACTTTGTCCTATTTCCTGTGATACTCTTTAGCTTGCCCCACGACTGCCCATAATCTTTCGTCTCCTCGTCACACAATCTCCTCCTTGATATCCCTTGACCTATTCCCATCTCATCGTATCCCATTCACCTTCCACGCAAGCACTGGTCTAGCACGCCATGTCATTCAACGGTCTCCTCATTGGCGTGTGTCCAATCCATCTACATTTTCTTCGGAATAATTGTTAAGCGACAGTTCCTCACCTGTTGGTTTTTTCCTAAAGTTTCTCGTTACTAATTCTTTCTCGCCAGCAATCTGATCTTCAATACGGAGAGAGGACAGCTTTTTATGACAGTCTACAGCAGGCTTTTGCAGATGCTTTTCTTGACCCAAACGCTAAGTGTTGGCCCATATAGACAAACTGACTAATTTAACATTTGTGTTGCAAATCAGAATCTTGTTCTTTGTGCTGCAAAGTGTAGAAGATTTCCAAATTGGCTTCAGAGTGATAAAAAGGTGGCTGTCTTGCCTTTCCGATTCCGGTTTTGACATCTTTATTCTTTACGACTGCCTGTAGTTGAAATGATGCTTTCTAGATAAGAGAAGGAAGTGACCTCTTTGAAATTTATTCCCTTTATAGTTATTGGTGCTGTTTCTTGTTGCTGGTAGGTCTGCATATGTGTCTTCATCACATTCTGTCTTCTCTATGTTGACTTGAAGTCATGTCATGATTGCCTACTTCTTCCGCCAACATTTTGATTTTTGCCTGTAATTCTTTGAGTTTGTGTGACATGAGACATAAATCATCTCATGGAAAATTCCCATTGTAACACATAGAAAATCAAAACAAGTGGTGATTAAGCGAAGAGACTCTTTTCAACGAATTTATCATCAAGCTGTACTGTCGTATATATATGGTTATTAAGAAGTTATATCCGGTTGTAACAACAGAAGACAAGGGCCAGGCAACAGATCGTTTTATTATGAAAATCAACACGTATTTATACATATTTCACATACATTATTATAGCTTATGCAAGTAGACAAGCGCAGTCATCTGATTGGTTGTTTATCAGAAGTTAGGCAGACAAACGCAGGCTTCTGATTGGTTGTTTCGGGATTCCTTGACAAATAGAGTTCTCTATCTGCGAATCATATTTTGCCACGTTAACTTTGCTGTGATTGGTTGTTGACTCAGCCTTGTTCATATTTTCTCACGGCCCATATTAACGTAGCTTAGTGTCAACCAATCGGCTAGCAGCCTGCTCTCACCACACGGTGAGGGAATTCAATCATAGGTGTGAATGCATAAAATAATGATAATAATCATATGAAGTTCAATTAAAACTAAAATCTTTGTGATTATAATCGTAGTTAAATGTCAAGTGGCAAAGCAAATTAATGTCATATATAGAATAATTCATAGGAGGGATGGATGGATGGAACTTGAAAAAGGCTGTGCGATTATAGGATTAGTAGACAAATCGAATAAAACAAAAAAACGTTACGTAATGTTGTGTGAAATTTGATAGTATAGGATTTAACGTTGCAAAACAGAATTGATTTAGAATGACAAGTGGAACAAGTGAAATAATGCCGGGGACAGTTCAAAGTGAGAATAGTAATACTAGTAACAATTGACTTAATAAGGAAGAGTATACAAATTGAATAGACAAAATGAAAAATTGGTAGAGCTAAAATATGATTGGGGAATACCATATTTAAGCATAGAGGGATTAAGACCATGAAAATTTAAGTGGAGGGGTTGAACGAACTTTTTCTGTACACAAAGATCGATAGCCAAAGATGGCTTCAGCAACACAGATAAGTCAGGTACGTAGGGATTTGGGTAGATTACTCTTTGCCTTGTAGATGACTTTAAAGGCGGAGGCTATAGAGATAGTGTGATCATTATCAACCAGATGTTCAATGATCTCGCTTCTTATTGCTCCACTTCCAGGTGGAAGTGGTCTAACTTTTGAACAACGTTTGAACATAGTAAATTTTCATGGGTTCTTTTACAGACTAGACGTTTGATTCATTCACAAACACCGTTCAATTATGAATTTGCAGTATATACCAACTGAGGCATTAAAAGATCAACGGATTAGTTTTATGATTGATTCCTTCGATTGATTAAACAATGAAAGATTGCTTTTACTGCAACTGGACGAGTGGGATACGGTCTCATCAAGGTCACATGGATCTTACTCATTTATTCTACACCTTATTTCAATATTATTTCCAGTGAGTACATTAAGTCGAAATCTTGTGTAGTTGGAAGTTACGTAATACTGAAGATGCGGTAGATGAATAATCAAAGTTTAAATCACGGATTGGTAGGAGTTAGAATTCATGGGATGGCCACTGAGGAGTCAGGTCCTAGTGGCTGAATGATCTCCGAGCCTGCTTTTTAGCTAAAAGAGCCTGGGTTCGAACTCATCTGGTGGGTACGTAGTGCCTACAAGTCCTGACTTAGGAGGAAACATCTCTCCAGTTTTCCGTGCTGGTTTTCAATGTCCATCTAACTGACATCAATCCGTGGTTAAACTTTAAATACAAACAGTAAATATAAAGAGAGCTGAGAAAACTTACTGGCGGATTTATTGTGGCCAGTGTAGATACAGAGGTAGGACAAAATTATTACCAGTGAATAGATCAAGGTTACTCCCGGGAATTTCCATACCTTCATCTATATATAAAAGACTAGTTCCTACCCTCTTCAAAAAGTTCGAAAGAATATGATAAATAAGCGTAAAAGAACATTTTCAGTTGAGAGCTTGTGTCAATAGTGTGTCTGTCGAATCGCCTGATTATTCGACAACAACAGTTGTGCGTCGGTGGCACAGTGGTTAGGATTCTCGCAGACCATGCACATGGTCCGGGGTTCGAGCCCACGCCGACGCACACCTGATATCTAAGGTCGGCCTGGGAATTTTGGGCTACCGATATCCACGCTGAAAATTCCACACTTGTACTAAAAAATACGGTGTGGAATCAAGCTGTAATCAAAAAAAAAAATTAAATGCAAATAGCATGAAGCCTTGTATCAATGGTTCTCTTATTAGCTTATTACTTAGTGCTCATTAACATGATGCATTTACAGTTTCCAATGAAATATTGTCTTCTCATAGATTTGAACCTGTACTATCCAGTGAGAGATATTATCGATGAAATCTTTAGGTTGTGAATGACTAATGTGTGATGTCTCTGACTGTGAAGCACTGAGTGATAAGAATTCGAATTGCCTAAGGAGATATCGATTCCCTGTGGTTGTTTAGATTTGCATTACTGTTATCTGTGAACAATGCACGAAACATATACGCAGCACTACAGTATCCTGGAGATTGATTTTAATCATAGTAATAATAGAGCTAGTCACCTAGTTTATTCCAAATATTGTAAACTTGACCAAACGGGATGTAATCAACACCAGTGTTAACGACTAGCCATATGTGAAATTGGATGCTCCTACCTTAGTGATAGATTTCAAAATAATTATTTTTTTATTTCATTTATTCATTTATTTTTATTAATTTTAGATGGTGATCATGTACAATTCAATAAAGAAAGGTATGTTAGTTGAAATATTGTCTTTATTGTGTTCTGTATTGATTGATAATATATCCTGGACTCGATACCTGTGTTGCCATGACAACTGCTAGTGTGGGCACTCTGAAGATGTCTAAATGTTAACATGAAGTTATTTTGCTTGATGACGGCTAGTGGATAATTCATTGATATTTAATAATAATAGCTTTATTTCAAACAGTATTTGTGGAACAGGTATGGAATTTTCAGCGTGCATTACAATACATTGCATCTAATTACCTCATACATTTTATAAGATTTTAAAATCAAAAATCAAAAAAAAAACGCCAAAAAATAAAAGATAAATAAAAAAAATAAAAACAACAGAGTAGCGTTTACATTTCAAACAATGCAACACAGGATATGAAATATAAAGTTGATGTGTAATAGAAGAGGGGAACAACAGGGTAATAGTAACGAAGAAAGGTAAACAAAAACTAATGGGACTATTTGTTAGGGTGCCACAGTAAGTTGATCGTGTCATACCTAACGGAATTCTCATCGCATAACGGTTGTGACAGATATGGTATTGTGGACTTTTTGTATTTGGTAGTCCTAACATATAGCCTCCTATAGCTGCTTCGAGTTCTACCAGATGAAATGCAAGGAGAGAGCTGCGTATAGAGAGGATGCTCGGGGTCTGACAATATTGTATTCGCTAGTTTCTTACATGACATAATATGTCTATCCACAATAGTGTTAATCAGTTGGTTTAACGATATCCCACTTGCCCTACTAAAGGCTTTTAGTGCCCTTCTCAGCAAAGCAAAGTCCTTCTTCTTAAGTAGTCCAGGAAAGATTAATGGGGAGCAGTAAAGGGGGATGGGTAGAATACAAGAATTGACGAACTGCGAAAGCAAAGACTGCTTTATGCCAGATTGCCTAAATTTCCTAACGTAGAACGATAAACGAAACATCTTTCTAGTAACTAGCAAGATGTGGGAGGACCAGGAAAGATCGGTGGAAATTCATTGACATTTAAAACAATAGATACTGGGTCCAAGGTTCTGAGTTGGAATAGCCGCTCACTAATGCATATGAACTGTGATCTCTATTTGACTTAATAGTTCCAAAATCATTAAGCACTGAGTGAGAAGTAGACACTTGCGGAAGTCATATTTATAAAATGTGAGAGAAATAGAAATAAGTAATTACTATGCATCGTTAACTGGTAGCTGTTAGAATTGATGGATCTTTGAGTTCCCTCCCAGTAGATGTATGATCAATGGGTTCACATCTCTGCTTAAGGGCCGTAGGTTGAATCTACGGTGGTGAGGTCGTGGGTGCGTGCTGGTGAAGAGTCCTAGAGTCAGAATGAGATGCACGTCTGGTATTCCCTGGTTTTCGCTGGTTCTCTTACTAATGTCAACCCGTAGTCTGACCTGAAATCTATCAAATTTCTGAAAATCAAGTCATCAGACTGCATGTGTATTATCGTTTTCAAACTGACTGAATTTGGGGAAATGAATTCTGATCCGAATTAGCTTCATTTTAAAACGTAATGTCTTACTTCATATGAACTGTGATCAAGATTTGACCGATTGTTTGCAAAATAATTGGGCACCGAGTGAGAAGTAGACATTTGTAAAAAAAAATTATATTTGTAAAATCTTAGCAAAATTGAAATGATTAATTCAAACGATTCGTTTGGCAAACTGGTCCTAACTTCTTCAGGGAAATTAATCGAAATTAACACAACAGAGGTGTGTATTATATCAAAAGGACATCTTTTGTTTTTTAAATAAAGTTTTGACCAATCATATGAATCATAGAACAGGCATCAAAATATTGTAAACAAACAAAATGGCATGACCTGTAATCAAAATTTGACCTCAGGCTTATAAATATTAGTTTACTTACTAATGCTAAACACTGCAAATAGTGTGTACTTTTTCATCAGAATTTTAGTGATTACGTTCCACTAAAGTTCATGGTTGTAGATAACTGGATATGAAAACATTTGTGTATATGCGATACAATGGTTTGTGTGTATATGTGTATGGGTAAACATTATTATATGTGTAAAACTTGGGCACTGTGGTAGTAAGTAATTCCATACTAAATTAGTGGATGGTGACCAGCAGTGGAATCCAGGATGCGCATTTCATCCTATTTGAGACTCGTCATCTGGATGTTTCAATTACAGGCCGACAGAACTGACGAGGATATCAAAGCCAGAATCGGAAAAGCAAGACAGGCTTTCATCACCCTTAAGTCTGTGTGGAGGTCAACAACACTCATCATCAAAAATAACATCCGGATTTTCAACTCCAATCTGAAGTCAGTCAGTGCTACTCACTATACGGATCAGAGACTTGGCCAGCGCGTCATATAGAGCATCTCAAACAAACTTCAAACCTTCATCAACAGCTAGCTGTCTTCGCTCAATACTCAAGATCAGATGTCCTCGAATAAAAGATCAGCAACAGAGATCTCTGGAAATGAGCGAACCAACCCAGCAGGAACCGATTGTGAAACAAATAGGCAGGAAGAAATGGAGATGGATTGGTTAGTCATACTCTGAGGAAACAAGTCATCAAGTGAGTGACATCACTAGGCAAGCCATCGTTCGAGTAGAACCCGAAAGGAAAGCGGCGACTTGGTCGTCCAAAGGTGAGGGTGACATGGAGGAGGTCATGTGAGGAGGGGATGAAAGCATGTGGGCAGACTTGGGACAGGGAGAAAAAGTTGGCAGAAAACCGGAGGCAATGGAGACGCTCGGCTGAAGCCCTATGTTCCTCTAGGAATTAAAGGATATAATAATAATAGTAATAAGACTTTCAAAAACAGTGGAGCTTCAAATCTGGGTGTATTGCATTGATTGCACACCAGTAATATAATTTAACGTGTGAAACCAGAGACAGGCATTGAAATTAGTTCAAATCCCTAAGAAATCCATAATTTTAATATTCATCTTGATTGGTAAGGTGAGAAGTAGTGACCGGTGAGGTCAACCGTGTAAAGGTGGAGTAAATACTCCATAGTAGTTTGTTTATTAGATGTATCACACACACAGTGAGTGTCACAGTATTATTTACTGGGTGACACAGTTTCGAACGTAATTTATTGTGGTTCATAATCATATCAATTATAATCATACGACTTGAAAACTTGAATTTGACATTTTTCTTTGTTCTCTCCTATTTGTCATCGTAGGGGTAGTAGAGTTTTCCAGATATCTGGGTGGACAGTTGTTGAATCATTCCTATTACACGTATTCGCCTCAGTTGATTCGATAAACAAAGCTTCTGTTATCAATCTCCCCCTTCACCCATGACATTAGATTTTGAAACTGTCATCCTATCCCATCCATCTTATTGTATGGTTGTGTGTAACTGCATGTAGTGCTATAGCTGAACTATTTTCTAGATTTCTTATCTTATTCGGGTCAACTAATCTAGATTTTGCCCCTAGGTTTTTATGTTCGGCTAGTCTGACTATCCCTGTTCTACTAGTTTGACCTTTGTATTTGACCTCACAATCACTGCAGTTAGGGTATTAGATAAACTTAATTGTTTTGCTTAATGGGCTCTACACAGGATCCTTTAACCTACAAAGCTTGTTTCTAATTGAGTTTGTGGGTTTGAATGCCAGCCAATTTTATTCCTGCCTGCCTTGTTAAGAATTCTGCGTAAGGCTTCCGAGGTTCCTTCTTTGTATGAAATTACTGTTGATGATTTACATTCCTTATTGTTGGTGTCGTCATTAATATTATTATTATTATTATTATCACTACCGCTACTATCATTATTTATTTTATTTTTAGATTTCCTTACATATTTCCTGACTAATTTATCTGGATAATTATTAAGTTTCAAGGCTTCTTTTATGTGTATCATTTCTTGTCTTAGATTTTCCTTAGTACTACTTAGTTCTTGTGCTCTGTCACTTAAACATTTTACCAATCCTATTTTTACTGACATAGGATGGGATGATCGGAAATCCAAATATCCGTTTGAATGTGTGGGTTTTCTGTAAACACTAGTGTTTAACTTCCCATCTTCTTTCCTTTTTACGTTGCAATCTAACATTGGAAGCTCCCCTTCTTGACTTTTCAATTCATAAGTGAATTGAATTGCCTCTACCTTCGAGTTGATGTGTTCGAAAAATCGATCTATATCTTGTGTTCTGAGTACAGTGAATGTGTCATCTACATACATCCACCATACTTCGACATGGAGTGGGGGTGAACGTTTCAATCGCTATGCTTCCCCACCTATCCATGAATATATCTGCTACAACCGGGGATATTGGTGATCACATGGCAACTCCCTCAGTTTGTTTGTATATTTTCCCTTGGAATTTAAATACTGTGGAAGTCAGGCATAGCTGCACTCCCAGCATTATGTCGTCGAGTGGCAATTTTGTCCTAATTTCGAGTTCTTGGTCAGAAATGAGTTCGTTTCTGACTGCCTCTATAGCCATATTTATTTATGGGTAAACAGTTGGTAAACAGTTTGTTAGCACCTCCATAAGGAGATACAGACAATCGGGGAATTTAGACCAAGTATAATTGATTATTGATACATATACATTTTAATTTATTTATTGATCAGCACTTACCATGCATCTGCTAACATCACACCTTCACGTCTGTTCAAACTGTTGGGATTCTCCTATATATATATACAAAGCTTCTGCAGTCATTCTTTATACCTATCCTCCCAAGTCATCTGCTATTCATCATACAACGAACGCAGCTGTTGATAACAGTTGGTATTTTCGTGATGGTCACTTTCCTAACCTTCAAACAACACATAACCGCTGAGTTACTTCATATGGGTTTTAAAGATCAAAACCTTGTTCCTTATAATGAGTGCAATAGACTTCCTGCTTACTGATTTCCGATCTTAACTAACTAGCTTTCACATAATCTATGCCAGTGCCTATAGTTGAAACAATTTGCTGTCTGCCTGAATAAGTTAAGTAGCTCACTTCCTTCAAATTTCCATCGTTAATGCTGATTGGTTCTCATTGTTGTCCTTGTTGCTATATAATACTCAAATTCTATTGGTTAATTCATCTTGAGTTTCTTTTTAATTTAAACTTTCCTTGTTCTAGTAAACCGTTAAATATAATTGGAATAAAACAACCAAATCAAGAACAATCACTGTTAGCAGTACATGAATATACTTCACTGATCACTAATCAGAATGATACACCAATACTTCAGACATGTAAATCATTTCATGAAGATGAAATCTTTAAACCAATTCCTGTAAATTTAAAATCTGAAAAATATGAATTCTCTGAATATGATTATTTAAAAACTAAACAAGCAGGTGACAAGACGATGATGGGGATGAAGGAGAACTCGACTAAGGAGAATGACATCAACCATGACTGTGATGGAGACGACGAGAATGACGACGATGAGGAGACACAACAAAAACTGCGTCTTTTACAAACTCTACAACAAGTTGATAAAGAAGAGAAAACTAAACAAAATCAAAAGTTAAATTTATTTTCAACATCACCTCAACAAATGGTGTCGAATGAAAAGGAGGATTTAATAAAAAATACGTGAGTAAATTATTCGAAATCATATTTTGAAATGGGTTTATTTCATGGGTGTTTTGTTTGCTGAAATACAAAACTGAATGTACTAGCCAAGCAATTTCTCTCCCTGGTGGTAATCATGTTGGGGAACTATTTACCCAAACCATCATTTCACTACATTGCCTGCCCAGTGAGATGTCATATCAATCTTAACCATACTGAATTGGAGAGAGAGAGAGGGTAATACTTTGCAGTGAAATTAAGTGACATTACTCCAAAGTTAGTCGGCTGTGTAGCAGAAGACTTTATCTGATTATTCTGATATTAGATGGTTGGAGGCAATCGTTACGAAGTCTTGACTGCGCCAAGGTTTCCTGCTAGTTGACAGTCATAAGTCAGCAAGGCATATCTGCAACCTTAAAGGAATTCATATCCCTTCTGATATTCAAATCCAAGTCATTCAGTTCTGTAGTCAGAGACGGTATTCTTTTAGCTATCCAGGCTCGTGATTCACCTCCTATAGGACTGTATTGAGTATTTTTGATTGGACACTGGTTAGTGTGTTCAATGAGAATATCTAAGTGGTAACGTCTCTGACTGTAGCATTCGGTGACATGTTTTTAAATCTCAGGAAGGGGTATGAGTTCCTTCAAGGTTGTAGACATGTCTTACTGACTGGTGAGTGACTGCCAACTAGCATGAAACCAAATTGTAGTCAGGCTTCCTACCGATTACTTCTAACCATCTAATACTAAAAATTTTTGGTACACCGTGATGGTGAGCCATTTAGAATGGTGGCAACATTGCAAACATGACTGACGATAGCATTCCGTCTGCACCAAACAAAGACCCAGAGGGCAGAGTACCCGAGGATTCGAAGAAAGAATACTTATTCAAACTACCAATGAAAGGAGACTTAAGTCAATGATAAAACTGGCACGGAATTATGCCCCTGTCCATCCCAAGCAAAATATTAAGTCGCATCACCCTGGAGAGAATCAAACAAGCCTTGGATGAAAAACTTCGACGGAACAAGCTGAATTCAGGAGAAACAAATCATGTATTGATTAAATCGCCACACTACGGATCATCATTGAACAAAGCTTGGAATGACAGTCATCTCTCCACCTCACTCAACTTCATCGACTTTGAAAAGACCTTCGACGGCGTCGATCGAGAGGTGATTTGGCAACTACTTCGCTACTACAGGGTGCCATCAACAATTATACATCTCATCCAACAGTTATACGACAGTGCTGCATGACAAGTAATTCACAACGGGAAACTTACGGAAGCCTTCGAAGTGAGGACGGGAGTGAGACAAGGCTGGCTACTATCACCAATGATTTTCCTGATTGCAGTAGATTGGATAATGCGACAGACAGCGGCAGGCAATGAGGAAACAGGCATAAAATGGACTCACACAAAAAACTTGGAGGATCTGGACTTCGCCCGCGATGATATATGTCTGATTTCCCACAAACTGGAAAATATCCAAGTGGTGAAAAATAACAAGTTGGCAGAAGAAGCATCAAAGATAGAACTTCCTTCAAGTGAACACAGAGAAAAAAGAGGTGGTGAAGAATTCTGGCCAACAGCAACAGCAGCGACAATCAGCATAAATAGGAGGAACCTCCATTACCTACCTACCTACCTACCTTGGAAGCATCGTTTCAACTACAGGCCGACAGAACTGACGAGGATATCAAAGCCAGAATCGGAAAAGCAAGACAGGCTTTCATTACCCTTAAGTCTGTGTGGAGGTCAACAACACTCATCATCAAAAATAACATCCGGATTTTCAACTCCAATCTGAAGTCAGTCAGTGCTACTTACTATACGGATCAGGGAGTTGGCCAGCGCGTCATAAAGAGCATCTCAAACAAACTTCAGACCTTCATTAACAGTTGTCTTCGCTCAGTACTCAAGATCAGACGTCCTGGAAGAAAAGATCAGCAACAGGGATCTCTGGAAATGAGCGAACCAACCCAGCAGGAACCGATTGTGAAACAAATAGGCAGGAAGAAATGGAGATGGATTAGCTGGCCATACGCTGAGGAAACCATCAAGTGACTGACATCACAAGGCAAGCCATCGCTCGAGTAGAACCCGAAAGGAAAGCGGCGACTTGGTCGTCCAAAGGTGAGGGTGACATGGAGGAGGTCATGTGAGGAGGGGATGAAAGCATGTGGGCAGACTTGGGACAGGGAGAAAAAGTTGGCAGAAAACCGGAGGCAATGGAGACGCTCGGCTGAAGCCCTATGTTCCTCTAGGAATTAAAGGAAACAATAATAATAATAATATACAAAGACCCAGACATATTATACTTGTTACTAATCAGCGTTCAATCATATCATATAACTAAAAATCCTCCATGAACAATCTTCTTTTGATACGTATGGTTATTCCAATAATTCAATTAATTTTGTGACTATTATTCCTTGTTTGTTCCCCTGAACTTCATATCACTGACGTAACATTTATATTCAACTCCATTTGCTTTGATACTCTAATTTAGTTTTGGTATTTTGTTGCCTCACAGTTTTAATGACTTCCTGTGCTGTTATTTGACAGTGTTGTTTTACAACTGCAATCAAACAAAAATCCCTACAAAACTAATACTTGAAAATTTGATTTGTGTTAAGTCAAGGTTATACTGTGAAGTGATTTTCTGGTCTTTGACTGTGTGCAGGACACTTGTCTTTTTTGTATTCTTGCGAACAGAGTTTTGAAACAACCTTCTTAGAAGGATTCTTACTGATTTTTAGGTAGTTTTAGGTGATGTTCGGTTACGCGTATTCTGTACCTGAAAAACTTTCAAATTGCTTGGCTATCGACCGGTATTGTGGAGGTGATTTTCCTATTTCTGATATGAAGTGTCTTTATTCAGTAGTTTATGGCGGATCCCAACAAGTGCAATCAAGTCTTAATATTTTTTTCTAAAATACCATATATTCTATCACATCAAAGTGTGCTTTTAATACTGTTAGAATATGAATGTGAATTTTCCATCGCTGTCAAAAGTTTTGCAAGCTGTGTAAAAGAACGTATAGTTTGACTGCCTGCCTTCCAACTGAAGTGCTTAGTTTGGTCATTATTTACTGTCATTCGTATAATGTGTTTAATGACTGAAGGTGTAGTAGAATTCTGAGGTTCAGTAAGATCAGAAACATTGGTGTCCAAATTACTACTCCAACTTGATATAAGTATAAAACTTGGACACCGTGATGGTAGAGTATAACTCCATTGTGGATAAGATTTTATTTTGACAAGTCATACAGTGTTGTACAGTAAGTAATATTAACTGATGACGTTTCGAGCACAAACTATTGCCCCTCATAATCATATCACGTTACTCACACAACTTTTTTCCTTCATTTATATACATGCATGTAATTGACCAGATATTTGAATAAAAATCAATATGGGATAGTATACATTCAGAAATAATAATGTGCGTCGGTGGCACAGTGGTTAGGACTCTCGCCGACCATGAGCATGGTTCGAGGTTCGATCCCCTGCCGACGAACACCTGATATGCATGGTCGGCCTGCAAAATTTGGGCTACCGATATCACATGCTGAAAATTCCATACTTGTACCGAAAATACAGTGTGGAATCAAACTGTAATCAAAAACTAAAAAAAATTAAATTAAAACGTTTTCAGGGTTAAAATTTCCACAGAAGTTTAGCAATTCGGGTTGTAATACCTCCCAAATTTACACAAATAAAGTCAGGATTGGGCGGGTGGAAACGGGATGCAAAGAGAATATAATAATCAATAGCTTATGGAAGAAACAACCTTTGTATGTAGAATAATGGGCATTTTAATGGAACTGTGCCAATGAAAGTGATTATAAGTCATGTGACCAACAGCTTCTAGCCATTAGTTCTTAGTCGATCAATAAGCTAGAAGATTTGAATATTGTTTATGGATACTATCTGAAGGAAGTTAACAAAACACTTTCTCAATGCCTGCGAAGTTATTAAGAGATATTCACGCCTAGAAGAAAGAATGTGCAACATTGGCATAAAATAAAACACTGTGTAACTCTGACTACAGAAAGATGGTGTGGCTATGTGGTCTCCTCTTTGGTCCACTCCTACCTAACTACTTCGCGCCGAGTCTTGAAAACAACATCCTCGATCATTTGCTAAGTCAACTACACTTATACAGGAGATACGTAGATGACACGTTCATAATTTGTGGTGAAAAAGTTGATTTAGAGTATCTCCTCAAAGCCTTCAACGCCTCACATCCATCAATAAAGTTCACCTTAGAACGTGAATCGAACATGACATTTCAATTCATGGATGTACTACTTACCAGAAGACAAGACTGTACAATCCAAAGATCAATATATCGTAAACCAAGATGGACGGGACAGTTAATCAACTTCCAGAGCTTCGTCCTACCGGTGTGAAAGCAAAACCTAGTACGTACATTATGCTTTAGAATTGGAAAAATCTGTTCAGAAGACACGACAGGGAAAGAATTAAATTCATTACGTGAAATCCTACTACAGAACGGGTATTTGCCACGATTCATCAACAAAAACATGAAAGAAAAGCCTATGTTGCCTAGAATCACAATGTTTCCTAAGAAAACTCTCTTCATGAACCTGGAATTCATAGGTGACATCGCAGCTGAAATTCTCAGAAACCGCCTTTCTAAATGTCTGAAGAAGACATTTCCAACAGCCACCTTACCACGCATCACATTCTCCAGCAGACATCTTATCCAGTCTAACGTTAGTGGTAAGATAGCGCTTTTGGCCAATCCAATGCCTTTTATCAATTTACTTGCTCGTGTGGAGTAAAGTATATCGGCCATGTGCAAAGTCGAAGTCCACAAACGTATTCTGGAACACTGTTCATCTTGGTTAGCCAGAGGGGTAAAGAAGAATAGCAGCAGCCTCATCCTAGAACACCTTTTCAATCGTGGATATCGAGCACTCCCTCACAAATGCTTCACAGTGCCTTACAGAGTCCCTCAATATCGTACAGAGGTAATTCGAATACGC